TCCTGTGCGGGCGTTGACGTGTTACACAGCTGCAATGCGTCAAACTCAACAACATTTGTTTGTGCATTAGAGAGATGCATCTGAAGGCCGCCAGTTATCCACCCAGCGCTGGTCACACTGATGTGTGAGGCCATTTCTGAAGCCTACAGAGCATCAGATTTAGAGCCTCCTGATAACCTCAGGGTGCACTCGACCAGAGGTATCGCATCTTCGACTGCTTTACATGATGGTATGACAATATGATATTTGCACTGCGGCCGCGTGGTCAACACCCTGTTCATTTATTCACTTTATCTACGTGATGTGACGGCTCATTCCATTACACATTCTGTACTTGGTGTTCTAACAGAATGAATATTGTTGTTTCATGGAACCCCGTTTAAACTCACATCTGACTGCATGCATTACAATGTGAGATGTTATCAGTCACAAGTTGTGACTGTTATTTTGGTTCTATTGTCACTAATCAGTTCATGACTATTGTTACCAATCAGTTCATTTGATTAATAATTAGTTCACTTGTTATTATTAATCTGTTCATACTGTTCAGCCGTGAACCGGTTGGTTCATGGCCCCTTTTTCAGCATCTTCCCTCCCCATTGAAACTTTCCGGGGCGTTCATGCTTTGTCAGAACGCATAGTTACACAGCATGCGTCTGTGCATGGTACACATAATTACGCAACTCATAATTACGCACATGGAGAGCTGTGACAAGACGTTTTTTGGGCAAGCTTCCGCTTCATATGGTGTTCGAATGGACCCAGTGAGGCGAGGACCGCATCCGCCCTTAACCCACCAGCGACAGCCTTAAAGGGCGAAGCCTATACGAAATAGAACGTTGGTTACGTACTGTAACCCCAGATTCTATGACTATAGGCGTAGCCCTTTAAGCGTCGGGCCTCACTGGCTCCTAAATGGCTGAAGAAAAAGCTATTTGGGAGCCCATTACCCGCTCTTAACGTAATTTATACGGACCAGGTGGGGCCCACACAGCAGGTGGGCGTGGACTAAACTTTTCAGTGTAATGCTTTGCATGACGGGATAAAACCCACCAGCAACAGCCTTAAAGGGCTACGCCTTTACTCAGAATCTGGGGTTACAGTACGTAACCAACGTTTTTTTGCCAAGAGACAAGTGATCTCTTCCTCCTCCGTTGATGTCATGACTGAAATGGTGAGAAATTAAAGAATTTGTCACGAGCGAATCAAAATCAGGTCCAGCGTGGCTGCAGGAGGGTCTGGAGATTTCCTGGTGGTCTGGTCTCGTGTGGGCTGCAGGGCCAGTGCTCCCTGTTTTTTTTTTTTGTTTGTTTTTTTTAGAACTTTTTATTAACAACATATAAACACAGAACACCGCTGCGGCTGGGGCTACGAGCTCTCGTTTTTATTTATTTTTTGACCCGTCAATCAATCCAGCAGGCACGTCAGCAAATTACCAATCGACGAACTCAATTTGTCCCAAAGGTAAACGCCCCTTGTCTGCAGAGCTGCTCTGCAGCCGCTCAGGGTGGACACTCGAGCATGAAGTCTCAACCCTGTGCACACATAAGCACAGTGCACACAGTTTCTGCGCAGCTGACAGGACATGAGAGTATACTGGAGCCTTTACACTGTGGAGAAGAACAGAGGAAGTGTCTGTCCCACCCCCTCCAACCAGCGCGGAATGACAGATCCTGGTGAGTGGAAGGAGCAACGATGGAGCCAGAGTGTTACCAATGGAGAAGAGTTGCATTAGGGCCTTAAAAATCCAACCTGGTCCGAGCCCATAGGCATTGGGTCCGAGCCTGATCCAACCGCACTAATTAACTTTAATTACAGGCCTGAACCCGAAGAAAAATCCGACATGGATGGACTGTACTTATATAGCGCCTTTCTAGCTGATCAAGATACTCAGAGCTCTTTACAACGATCTGTGCCTCATTTACCCATTCATACAGCACTCTACTAGATCTCTACAAAGCTAATTGAACAAATCATTCTAAAGAGACTAATCAGAGCTTTATCACGTTCATACACTGATAGGACACACATCGGAGGCAGTGAGGGAGGGGGTCAGTGTCTTGCCCAGGGACACTTCAGCATGCAACTGCTGGTGGATTCGAACCCCCAGCTCTTGCATTGGAGGACGACTGCTCTAACCACTCAGCCACAGCCGCCCAGCCATGTTATTTTAATTAAGCTTTACTGTTTTTGTAAGCAAATCATTTTGACATGATAGTTTTAAAAACATATTTCAAAGAAAGGAAGACATAAGATTTCTTGTTTCAACAAATGGGAAACGAATAGCCTAAAATAAAATCAACTCTAAAGATAGGCTATTATACAGATGAAAAATACATTTTTAGAGCAAAATTATTTGGAAAAATATAAAACAAGGCTATTTTAATTTAGATATAAAAGAAAGTTGTGCAAAATTAAGCTCAGTCATGCTGTCGCTGACGACGGAGCGATTTAACGTACACCCGCACTACACAGAGTAAAACTGGTGTGCATAAAAAAAAGGCCTACATTCTACAACAATGCTTATGCTAATACTTTAATACACAAAATATCTATAACAAATAAAACCAGTGCATACCTTTTTGTCATCAACTACCAGTTTAAAATGGTTCCAGACCTCAGATTTTGCACTGTGCAGGTTTTGAAGAGTGAGTTCTCCTGTTTTTAGCTTTTGTTTAATACTTTCCAGCTCCATTATGTCACTTGTTGTGGGTCAATTGCCAATCCTCAGATGTGTGATAAGAGCAAAGGGTGGGCGGGGCCACATGTGCAATTGTTGCACCATGCACCAGCGTTACTCTCTCTTTTCACAGTCTGATTAACTTTTGCACTTTATTTTACTTTTTTCTCCTCCTCTACAAGTAGATGAACACAATTTTATATCATGCATTCTTATTTAGCTTTCTTTGTGTTTTATGATTCGTAAAACTGCAGGACAGAAGCCCGAGCTCGACCCATCCCGTCCATCAAGCACAGAATTTTGGCCCGACCCGAATTTTGGGTCAGGCCATAAAGTGCAACTCTACAATAGAGGCCTTGGCCACATTAGCTAAATAAATTAATCTTTGGCCACCTCAGTTATTTTGAGGAAACAAACTTTTAAGCAATATAAAAACTAAAAAGCACATTTTCCTGAAATGACTGCGGTGGCCAGTTTGTTTGATTGCATACATACAGAGAGGAAAATAAGTATTTGAACAACCTGCGACTTTGCAAGTTCTCCCATGTAGAAATCATGGAGGGGTGTGAAATTTTCATCTTAGGTGCATGTCCACTGTGAGAGACATAATCTAACAAAAAAAATCCGGAAATCCCAATGTATGATTTTTTAAAATAATTTATTTGTGTTACTGCTGCAAATAAGTATTTAAACAGCAGCCAATCAGCAACAATTCTGGCCCTCAAAGACCTGTTAGTCCGCCTCTAAAAAGTCCACCTCCACTTATTATTCTAAATTAGAAGCACCTGTTTGAGGTCCGTAGCTGCATAAAGACACCTGTCCACCCCACACAATCAGTAAGACTCCAACTACTAACATGGCTAAGACCAAAGAGCTGTCCAAAGACACCAGTGACAACATTGTAGACCTCCACAAGGCTGGAAAGGCTACGGGGGAATTGCCAAGCAGCTTGCTGAAAAAAGATCAACTGTTGAAGCAATTATTAGAAAATGGAAGAAGCTAAACATGACTGTCAATCTCCCTCGGACTGGGGCTCCATGCAAGATCTCACCTCGTGGCGTTTCAATGATCCTAAGAAAGGTGAGGAATCAGCCCAGAACTACACGGGAGGAGCTGGTCAATGACCTGAAGAGAGCTGGCACCACTGGTTCCAAGGTTACTGTGGGTAATACACTAAGACGTCATAGTTTAAAATCATGCAAGGCACGGAAGGTTCCCCTGCTTAAATCAGCACACGTCCAGGCCCGTCGTAAGTTTGTCCATGACAATTTGGATGATCCAGAGGAGTCATGGGAGAAAGTTCTGTGGTCAGATGAGACCAAAATAGAACATTTTGATCTTAATTCCACTCGCCATGTTTGGAGGACGAAGAATGATGAGTACCATCCCCAAAACACCGTCCCTACTGTGAAGCATGGGGGTGGAAGCATCATGCTATGGGGGTGTTTTTCTGCACATGGGACAGGACGACTGCACTGTATTAAGAAGAGGATGACTGGGCCATTTATTAGGAGTATTTGGGGAACAACCTCCTTCCCTCAGTCAGAGCATTTAAGATGGGTCGTGGCTGGGTCTTCAAACATGACAATGACCCGAAGCACACAGCCAGGAGAACCAAGGAGTGGCTCCGTAAGAAGCATATCAAGGTTCTGGAGTGGCCTAGCCAGTCTCCAGACCTAAACCCTATAGAAAATCTTTGGAGGGAGCTCAAACTCCGTGTTTCTCAGTGACAGCCCAGAAACCTGGTTGATCTAGAGAAGATCTGTGGAGGAATGGGCCAATATCCCTGCTGCAGTAAACCTGGTGAAACACTACAGGAAACCTTTGACCTCTGTAACTGCAAACAAAGACTACTGTACCAAATATTAACATTGATTTTTACAGGTGTTTAAATACTTATTTACAACAGTAACACACAAATAAATTATTAAAAAAATCATACATTGTGATTTCCAGATTATTATTTTTTTAGATTGTTTCACAGTGGACATGTACCTAAGATGAAAATATCAGACCTTTCCATGATTTCTACGTGGGAGAACTTGCAAAGTCGCAGGGTGTTCAAATACTTATTTTCCTCACTGTATATGTATAAATATATGTATACAGTGTTCCCCTAAACATTAGGAGGACACCCCACCCTGTTAACAGAAGCAAGCGCCCTACCGAAATGTCTTTCACCCACAGCTCCCCCCACCCAACCCCGCAACGACTATCGCTCCGCAACAAATAAATACCTGAATACTGCATAAAGTGCTGAATAATTTAGAGCTGGTCTAAAAGTCGGTGTGACTGAAGCGCAGTGGCTTTAATGACGTACCTGTCTGCGACACCCCACCACATATCGAGGACCATTAGTGGCCTTTACAATGACTGCAATGAAAGAGACAAAACACACTGTCACGTGTCGAACGGCAACAAATACATTGGTTTTACAGTTAAGGTTAGGAATCAATATCAAAAATCCTGATCTTTAACAAATTAATTTTATACTTTTTTCAACACATTGTTTCTCCTACCGTTCTACAAGTAGGGCGCCCCACCCTGTCAACAGAACCGAGCGGTCTGCGTATTGAAATGTCCTTTACCCACAACTCTCCAGACTGGTGAACCTCTGCTCATTTTTACTTCTGAGAGATTCAGGCTTTGTTACACCCAATCATCCAACTGACCTGTTGGCAAAGCGCTCCACCTGTTTTCTGACTGTTTTTCATCCTTTTATTGTCCTGTCTTTATTATTATTACGTCCTGTTGTCATAATCTTTTATTTTAAAAAAGTTTCAAAATCCCACTTTTAACAACTGTTATGTTTACTATGTTCCACTGTAAGTAAAATATGGGTTTACAGATTTGCGCATCAATGCATGGTTTGAATTTAAATGTTTCACCAAGTCCCAACCTTTTCAGATTTATGGTTATAAAATGAGCTCACGTCGCTACATGTGGAGAACAGTTCTGAGTTAACTTACATTTCTCCTCTGTGAGTTGTTTCAGCACCTCTCCAACAATCTGCAGAGAGAAAACTTGTAAAGTCAGAATAAAACAGATCGTGTTCGGTTTGTTTACAGATTTTACTGATTTCAACCAGTCCACCAAATATAAATCAGCTATAATGAAAAAAACAGTGCTGTTGGTTTTAAATAACCCTCTCTGTGATGCTCAGTTTAACAGTGTTTGTTTAAAAGTGTGCAGACACTTAAGATGAGGGCACACTGCCTGTTAGACAGCCAGCTGTGCAGCACGGTTTAGAACGGTCAATTAAAAATAATAATTTTTGTTTGCATGGCTAGCAAAACTATAGTGCAGTCTGTGCGTAGTATAAAAAAAAAACCCAACATGTAGTAGAAGGGCAGCACAGTGGTGCAGTTGGTAGAGCTGTTGCCTCTCAGTGAGAAGGTTGCTGGTTCAAATCCCAACCGGGGGCCTTTATGGGTGGAGTTTCCATGTTCTCTCCGTGCATGCGTGGGTTTTCTCCAGGTTCTCCAGTTTCCTCCCACAGACCAAAAACATGCATGTTAGACTGATTGGTAACTCTGAATTGTCTCTAGGTGAGTGAGAGAGTGAATGGTTGTTTGTCTCTATGTGTCCCTGTGATGGACTTTAGACCTGACCAGGGTGTCCTCCGCCTCTCACACTGTGATGGCTGGACATGGGCACCAGTAACCCCTGCAACCCGAGTAGTAAGAAGCGGATAAAGATAATGGATGGATGCACTAGAAGTTCAGAACATCAGCAGACGGACTTGTCAAAAGGGGAAGAGAAAAAAACGTTCAAGCATTCTGCTGCTGAAAACTCCTTTGAACAGAAACAAGATCTCAGCTGTTGTGTGTGTTGATGTGACAACAACAGATCAGGTGTGTGTGAGGTCACACCAACATTCAGGGTGATCAGAACTGGACCAGCACAGACTGAGGTTCATCTGTTTGTGTAGAAGAATGTAAGACATGAAAAATGACAGGTCTCAGATGATATTCTGACTAACATTTTCACCACTGTAACAATTTTTTTTGAGTATTATGATTCTAAATCATTTTGTAAATGAATTTATGTTTTGTTTTCTGATATGTGAACATTAACTGACCAAGCTTGCTGCTTTTTATTTCAGATTTATATCCTTGTGTTGACGTGCATAAAGATGTGGACGTAATTTGAATTTTCATTTTAAACAGACAAATCAGCAAAAGATAATCAGTTTTTATTATAAACTATTAAATGTAAGAAAACTCTTTTACTTTTAGGTAACCCCCAAAAGGTCCAGAAGCTTTATCCATCCATCCATTATCTTTACCCGCTTATTCCATTTTGGGTCATGGGGGTCGCTGGTGCCCAAGTCCAGCGATCACTGTGCGAGGGGCGGGGTACACCCTGGACGGGTCGCAAGTCCATCACAGGGACACATAGAGATAAACGAGACAAACAACCATTCACTCTCTCATTCACACTTAGGGACAATTTAGAGTTACCAATCAGCCTAACATGCATGTTTTTGGTCTGTGGGAGGAAACCGGAGTACCCGGAGAAAACCCACGCATGCACGGAGAGAACATGCAAACTCCACCCAGGAGGCCCCTGGACCGGGGTTTGAACCAAGGACCTGCTCGCTGAGGGCCAGTTGCGCCACCGTGCTGCCTGTCCAGAAGCTTTAAACCAGGGCTATTCAACTAAATTGCTCAGAGGGCACAGTTACTGAAAGCCAGTAGCTCAGGGGCTGGACATGCAGCAGTCATTGTCATTAATTAAGTTTGTTTTATGGTTTCAAATCTAGTTATATTTAAAAAATGAACCCATTGGTGGGCCAAACTGAGCTCATCCGTGGGCCTGATTTGGCCCCTGGGCCACCAGTTGAATAGCTCTACTGTAAACTATAAATCCAAGTAGGATGTCTGCTCAGCATTAAAGGCTCTTTGTCCCAACAAACAAATTAAAAAGATGAAGTTGTTTTTGGCTTTAAGCAGATAATTACTGAAAGGACATATTAATACACTGATAAATGTCTCAAACTGGCCCCACATTTCATCACTTAACCTCATTTTTAAAAACATTTTCCAGGAAAGCATGTCTGCAAGCCCTACCAACAAATTCACACACCCAGCTCTCTGAATAACACACTGATGGCAACACTTTAAACTACCCTAAACACACCTGGATACAGGTGCATTTTAATGTATAAAGTATATACAATATGAAATTGAGCCACTTTATTGAAAACCTGACAGAAACATAACTTAAGACACCCCTCCCATCCACCCAGGGCATTGGTCTCAAGACAGTCTGCATAGAGCCAATAAAATCAAAAGAGACAACTCACACCCACAATATGGACTGTTTACTCTGTTGACCTCTGGCAGAAGGTACAGCAGCCTGAGGACCAGAACCACAAGGTTCTGCAAAAGTTTCATCTAGGGGTGCACTGATAAATTGGCCGGACGATTATTTATCGGCCCCGATTTCCTTAATTTTGGGAGATCAGCGATTGGTCAATACTTACATGAGAAACCAATTTTTTTTTTTGTAGTTTTAACAACAATTGTCTGAACTTCGTTTATATTTCAGAGCACTACCTCATGGCCAGTTAAAACAAGTTTGTATTATTTCTAGGATATTGTTCAAGGGTATGTTTTTCAATAACATAAGATTGGAAAATTGAAGGTGCATTTTGACCTTCTAACACCTGACAGTGTTGCTTATAAAACAAAATCGTATCGGCAGCAGGTCAGGCTTTTTAGAAATTGGTGATCGGCCAGAAAATTGCAATTGATGCACTCTTACTTTCATCCCACGAGATATCAGACAGCTGAACTCAGGTCACTAATGAAGTGACCACAAGAGCAAACACACACACAGACATTCCTAAACACCAAAGTCTATAAAATTCATGTAAATTATGTACTCTTACACTGCTGAGAAGAAATTAAACAAAAATTCATTCAATTTTGCTTAGTGAACTGTACAATTTTGAATGACAAAGTTTATATTTATTTATTATTATTATAACTTCTGTCCTTAACAACTCATTTCCGGGAGCTTTGCTAGTTTCTGATGGCTTGAATACTTAATGATAATCTAAATTATTCTACAATCTGACATGTTGATCGAGGACAGAAGAACAAACATGTTATTTACCTGTCCAACACTCTGCAAAGCCTTCAGGTCATTCTCTGATTTCTCGTACTGTTTGGTTTGTTCTCTCAGCTGCTCTCTCACTGCTCAGCAAAAACACACAGGAGATAATCTTGACAAAGATACTGTACAAAGCAGGTAAACACACAGTTTAAATCATGCTGTCTGCTAGCAGTAGTTAGCATAACATCCTCAGTTACACACGAGTCTAAACCATGATTTGTACATGTTAACGACATTATTGTTGAATTTTAAACAACTACATGTTTACTCTAATAAAGTTGCAACAAATGTCCAGATTCAGAGGACTGACTGTCTTCTCTTCGGTGAAAATGCAAACTGCATGACAAAGCACAAGTTAGCTGACGAGCTAGCTAATGCGGTGGTTTCAATTAGAGCCACGCGATCAGACCATATTGAATATTCCTTTATATTGTAAAATAATTAAAAAAAAACATATATGTATATATATTACGTTCTTTCAATCGTCCGTCAACTTCTTTGTGTTCCAATAGTTTTTTCCTATAATCTTGCAACGCTTTTTCTCTTGAGTCCGCCATGACGCTTCAATGAACGATGAATTGTCTACGTCACTTCCTCCCCCTGTTTCCGGTAAACGGGGGTTTGCAACCAGTTTACAGAGGCTTTACCGTCATCTGTTGGACTGGAAGATAATGGACAATACCGCTGAGAGAGGCAGGAAACCCTATGTAAAATCCTCCGAGACCGCGGGGTGGCGGAATAACCAGTTTATTACCGAAGAAGAAGAAAAAGGAAGATGGCGGCGGACGGAGTTGGCAGCCGGCAGGGCTGAGGTAGCTGTAGAGTTACAACTTACACCAGTCAGTCAGTAAATATACTGTTTGTCAGCAAAGCGCCTCCCTCACGCTGTTTACCCTGCTTGGTAGAACAACGAGCACTGATGGCGCTCCTTTATAGCCTGTTATGGCGGTTCCTGCTGGTTCTGGTTCGCTTTAAGAGAGCGGTTGTTTCCTGGCTACAAATCCGACTTCGGAGCTGGAGAGGCCGCCTCTGGGAGGGAACCATCACCGCCCTGCTAATGCCGGTAGCTGTGTCCGAGTTCCCGGAGTATCAGAAGAAGACACATCCGAACGTTAATGTTGACCCGGTCAGGGGGAACCGAGCTGACAGCAGCCGGGCTCGGTGGCTGTCAGACGGCCGGTCTCTGGAGAAGCTGCCGGCCCACATCGGCTTGATGGTGGCCGAGGAGGAGCTGAGCTTTCCGGACGTCGCTAAGCTGGTGGTGTGGTGTATGGCTGTCGGTGTGTCCTGGGTCAGCGTCTACGATAACCACGGTAATCTGAGCTTTATGACATGTTTCTGCTATTACCTGTCAGAGTGAGTTGTTGTTTTAAACTTTACGTCAAATTGTAGCAATAAATGACATGTGAAGTGTTCACTCACCACGTTCAGAGACGTTCAGGTGTCTCTGATCAATTAATCCTGACCACAACAGTTACTTCCGGATAATGACCTGTGATGATTGACCTGTGATGATTGACCTGTGATGACTGACCTGTGATGATTGACCTGTGATGACTGACCTGTGATGACTGACCTGTGATGACTGACCTGTGATGACTGACCTGTGATGACTGACCTGTGATGATTGACCTGTGATGTTCGGTCATGTCAAGTTACTTCAGTTTGTTTTACATTTGGACAGCTCAGCAGTGACTGGTCAGTTTCCATCCAAATTAAAACTTAAGGATTGGACTGAAGTACATCTAGTTGTTGTTAATATGCGTTTTTAATTGTCTGAAGGATTCTATCAACTATTTTTTTTATCTTGATTAATCAAAATGACTACTTAAATTTCAAACAGCAAAATGAATGCCTTTGTTTTTGTTTATTTTATCTTTAACAGTCAATATTGGTATTTAAGGTGTACTACAAAATAAAATCCAAGCAAAGATTTGTGAATTCAAGTATAAAATAAAGGCTGAAATGTCCAACTCCAGTGAGGGAAGGCCTCGTCCTCATGGGAGCTCAGAGAAAGAACGATGTTTGATTTATTGGACTTATCCAGGGGTAGACCTGAGGAAAACGTCCAGGTTGTCCAGCGATAACCTCTTGACAGAATCAGGTTTTCTGCCAAAAATATTGTTGCCTGCAACATTTATAATAAAGAACGTCAAAAATGTCAAGAAAAGCATAATTTAACATGTATATTAAACTAAACAAAGTTTACTATGTGTAAATATTCTCAGTCAACCATCTTGTGGATGACTTGGAGTTTCCAAGTTACTGAGTGTCAAACTCTTTCAGCTGGAGGAGAACTTCCTCATTCTCTTCCTCATCATCAGACTTTGCAAGCGAGGCGCTCTCAGTGTAAAGGCTCAGGGATTACAGCAGAAAAATGTTTTGACTGGAACTTTTTCTACACCTGGAAGTTACCTAAACACCCCCAACACAATTTTTCTTCCCTTCAGGTGACTTCTTAAAGGTTTGACAGAAAGAGGATAATACTGTACTGTGTACATGACCTTAGTAAAAGTACTCAGTATACTGTGTACATGTAGGCCTGTTGCAATAAACAATAAATCAATTAATCGCATGATAAATGAAAATTATCAACCTCATTTATCAGCTTTATCGTTTCTTCATGTCTCTCTCTTTCTACTGAAGACACTGGATGACAAACACCGGTGCTCTTCACTGACCCCCCCCCCCCCCTTTAAAATCCATTTTAACCGTCCAAAATCGTGTATTTGGATCGTTAAAAGCAGCTAAGCTGAGAAGCTAAGCTAACAGGCCGACCTCAGGAAAATACCTCTGTCTTGTTGAAGCTCCAAAATTCACAGTTGAAATCCGTGCCTTCGTCTAAAAAGTTATTTTTCTCTGCAAAAAGAAGCTGAGAACTTGTTTACTGTTTTTTTTTATTAAAAACTTTGAGTGAAAAATGCTATGCTAAAGAGCTCAAACCACACCGAGTGCCCGCCATTTTGAGAACCGAAAAACAGCAACGAGAGACAGCCCAAGTCACGTCAAGGGGCCTCCCTCCCATTTTTCTTAAGAGACGCTGCTCGCTCCCTCACTGGCCATCCTTCAATTCAAACAGTCTTATACTGCCATCCAGTGGTCAAAAAGATACTACACATAAAAATTAACCAACATTTCTTCTTCAATTTGGATCAAATTCATCCTGTGTACACAACCTTAGTAAAAGTACTCAGTATACTGTGTACATTACCTTAGTAAAAGTACACAGTATACTGTGTACATGACCTTGGTAAAAGCACTAAAATTAAAATTTAGAAAGGAACATTAAACCCAGTCAGTTTCCCTCTAATTAATGTGACCAAAACATCTGCCTTTGAATCAAGCAAACAAAGACCCTAATGACCTCCAGGAGGGAGGGGAAGAAGATTAATCTGCATGGAAATTTAGCTGCATAATCTAAAGTATCTCTGTTGCAGCTCCACAGTCTCCAGTTCTGATATGAGACAGCTCCTTGGGTAAGAAGCAACATTTCTTCTGCCACAGACTAAAAGTCTTGTTGCTTTGTTTTTTAAAACCTTTTTTTTTTATTTCACATGTGTGAAAGGTTGTGTACCTTCTTAATCGTTTGAAACCAGGGCTTAGGTTGACCAGTTAAAAGAAATGTCTCCATCTTTTTTATACATTTTCTTTAATTTTGAACAAGTCAAAGTTTCTTTATTTGTTGTTCCACCACAAATGAAATTGTGTACACTGGGTCCCATTTACATCCAAAAAAGTATAAATTGTAAAGAAAAACAGTAACAATGTCTAAAATATGAACTAAGATGCTAAACAAATGATAGTACAAAACAATACGCCGAACAACAGCAGCACAAACATGAGTCTGTGTGAGCAGATGAGTACGAATGAACACAGTATCATGAAATAAATCAGCAGCATGAGATCAGCAGCACATATCAACAAACAACGTGGCATTACAGTGATTTTTTTCACAGTGATGATTCTGGTTAGGGATTCATGAGTCTAACTAGCTATGTTTACATGTGCCAAATTTTTTGACCCAATTGAAATGTTTTCAGATTAAATAATTCAAATGTATCATTTACATGGGCACAATCTGTTCATGACGAGTGTTTACAGGCAGCGGGCTTTGTTCTGAACAGAAGTACTGACATATGCACAGTGGTAAACTCTCCTTAAAAAAACACAGAAGAAGAAGTTCTACTTCCGGTTTACTTCAGTGATGAACGTAAACAAACCTGAGCACCCAAAATGGACCCGCAACAGGTTTTAATGACTGTGGAGACGTTACTGCACTCCCTGACTGAGCTGCAGGTAATACAGATCATTTTGAGCTCTTTCAAAGTTTCTAGTCGAAATGTTGTCGCTCACCGACCAGTTTTGCTTCCCCAACATGCTAATATTATTAGCATTAGCCAGGCGGAAATGGCAAAGTTGCACATGTGCAGTCAGGTCGTTTCGTTCTGATCACATATTATTTCCGATCACGCCGAATAAACAAAAATTAACCCGAACGGGACGTTTACATGACGCATTTTTATTCTGAATGGCCGTTTGATCCAATTACTTATGTCCATGTAAACATAGCTACTGCCTCAGGGTAGAAGCTGTTCCTCAGTCTAGTGGTTCTACACTTAATGCTCCTCAACCTCCTTCCTGAGGGGAGCGGGGCAAAAAGTGTGTGTGCTGGATGAGTGGGGTCCTTCATGATGCAGGTGGCCCTCTTCCTACATCTGGAGGTGTAGATGTCTGTGATGGTGGGGAGACTGACTCCGACAGTCTTCTGTGCAGCCTTCACCACTCTCTGCAAAGCTTTTCTTTCTGCAGCTGTGCAGCCTCCATGCCACACGTTGATGCTGGAGCACAGGATGCTCTCCACTGCACACCTGTAGAAGGAGGTGAGGACTGAGCTTCCCACTCCAGCTCGTCTCACCTGCCTGAGGAAGTAGAGTCTCTGATGAGCTTTCTTGATCAGGCTGGTGGTGTTGTTGCTCCAGCTGAGGTTGTCATTCAGGTGCACACCCAAGTACTTGTAGGTGGAGACCGCTTCCACCGCAGATCCTCGGTGTGTTTGTTCCGTCTGAAGTCCACAACAGTCTCCTTCGTCTTCTTCACATTGATGTGAAGGTTGTTCTTCCTGTACCAGCTCTCCAGGTGTTTCACCTCCTGCCAGTAGCTGGACTCATCGTTGTTTATGGTGCATCCCACCACCGCTGTATCATCTGCAAACTTTACAATGTGACATCCTGGATGCGTAGGTGCACAGTCATATGTGAGCAGCGTGAACTCAACACACAGCCCTGGGGGAGCCCGTGCTGAGGGTTATGGTGGAGGAGAAGTCATGGATCTTCACAGATTATGGTCTGTTTGTTAAGAAGTCCAGGACCCAGTTGCATATGAAGGGGCTTAGTCCAAGTCTGAGTAGTGTGTCCACCAGGGTTTGGGGGATCATGGTGTTGAAGGCAGACATGAAGTCCACAAAGAGCATATGGACGTAGGAGTCCTTCTGTTCCTGGTGGGTGAGAGCAGTGTGGACCACAGAGGAGGTGGCATCCTCTGTTGATCGATTCTTGCTGTATGCGTACTGGTGTGGGTCCTCGTTGATAATGATGGTTATTTTGATGTGGGTCATGGCCAGTTTTCAGGCAGGTGAGGACTGTTGCCAGCGTGAGGGAGGAGTTAAAGATGCTGGCCAGCACCTCATAGAGCTGATCGGCACAGTCTTTCAGCACCTTACCCAGGATGTTGGCTTTGGCCCTCTTAATACCAGCAACCAGCTCTTTCCTTGTCCTTCTCAGCTCCTGTGAGTTGCCAGACCTGAAGGCAGTGTTCCTGGCTTCCAGCAGGGTGTGAACCTCTGCATTTAGCCAGGGCTTCTGTTTTGGATAGCTCTTAACATTTGTGATGGTGGTGATGTCATCAGCACACTTGCTAATGTAACCCAGGTCTGAGGATGTATACAGTAGTCCCTCGTGTATCACGGGTGTTGGGAACCACGTCCACCCATAATAAGTGAAAAACCACAAAGTAGGGATTCAGTAGTGCAAGTTCAGTAAAATTTGTCATGACATGTGCCAGACTGCAATCACACTCATCACCTGTTACTCCCAATCTCCCTCCTTAAATAAATAATTTTAATTTAAATACTGTAACATTTTAAATAAACTCTAAAAAAAAGTTCAATCTGGTCCTCTGGACATTCCAAAAAAAAAAAAAAAAAAAAAAAAAAAAAAAAAAT